CACCAAGAGCTTGTAACACTCCAAAGAGAAAGGAAAAATTTAAATCGCATCATATGACACCTTTAAGAAAAACTGAAATGTACTTATAGATTTCAAATATTTTAAATATTGCCATAGACATTAAATATTTCTAAATGAACAAATATTGAGTTAAATCGAGCTCGGAATTGAATGTTATTCAATCGAGAGGTTGTCAATCAGAATCAAATCATGAATCATGATTTGTATCAATACCCAGCCCTACTGCTGCATACAATCTAGAGGAAGCAATGAAACTAGCAATCTGACGGATTAAACCAAAATCCATGCAAAGTTAAGATGCAAGAGATCAGGAGCCATGGTGATGATCACTAGGTTAATGCTTCAGTTCTCAAAAGCCTTGACCTGAACTCAGATTTTTCCAGCCAAGATAAATAGAGGAAGAGGGTGGTAGAAGGGGTTTCCCAAGCTGTTACTCTGTTCCTTACCACCAGTTCCACCTCTGCTATTGGGTTTGCCTTCATCACGGCCCCCTCCTCCGAGGTCTTTATCTGGCAGGGACAGGAGATGCCATCAAACCTGGCTGGCTTGGATTAATCCACACTGACTAGCCTAAGTTTCCCAGTGATAGACTGTAAGGGCAATATTATTGACTTTATTGAGTGATTCCTTTGGCTATGCTTTTGATGACCTTCAAGATTACACAGGCTTTTACAGACAATGGACAAAATGGATAATGATGCTGCACAATATGTGATGTTTCAATTGGAAACAGAGGGCCCTGTATTTTCTCTATATTTCTACTTCTGTGTTATATTGCATTATTTAATTTTCTGTTTTTCTTATATTTGTGTTTCATCTCTACTGTGTAATTCCTATGTATGGCTGCTTGCACAGTCTTGTATGCTTGTATGCTTGCACTGTCTGGACTTTCTTCTGCACTGAAAGCTCCTGTCGCCAAGACAAATTCCTTGTGTGTGTAAACATACTTGGCAATAAAGCTCTTTCTGACTTCTGACTGAACTACTAAATTGCAAAAAATGAAATATGGAGAAAGGTAAAAGTGGATAAACAGAATACCTACCGCCTTTGCCAGAGTCTTTGCCCTTTCCTCTGATGTCATTGTCGGGGCTCAAGGCATCTTCAAGATTCAAGTCCCCAAAATCTATCAGCCAAAAGAAATACTCACTGTGTAACAAATGAAATATGCACAGTACCAATTAGGGCTGGGCGATATGGCAAAAATCATATCTCGGTATTTTTTGGCTGAACTACGATCAATTTTCTACATTTTTCTATTTAGATTAAATATATATATATATTTATTTACTTTTATTTTTTACATCCTGCCCAATGTTGTCCAATGAAACAATGTTTAAAGGCAATGAAAACAAATATAGTGAAAGAAACCATGTAGGCTATGCTATATATTGTGCAAAAAAGGGGCTAAAATCACATTGCATTCTAAAATTGTAACATTACAATCTAAAAACAAAAACAATGCTATTTAAAGCAGAAGTTAAATTCACTAAACTAAAAATGAATAGAAATAAGAACAAAAGCACAGATTTAATTGCATTATATTTTCATTACCCCATTACAATAGACACTTTACTGCTATCATAAAATACACTTAGATCACTTTTGGGTTTAAAATTCTACACATGGCACATTTATTGTCCAACTACAAATATTTTAGTAAAATGTATACTGAAGTCTGTTAAGTTTAGTGGAGAATTGCATGCAGTAGGCTCGTGCACTCCTGACAGCAAAATGGAAATATTTCCATGACTTTCTAACATTTACAGATGGAGAATATACCTGTGAAATGTAAGTTATGCACATCTCAAACCCATTAAACAGTGCTAGTAGCATCTCTGTCAGCAGCACATGAGTCTGTCAGAGTATCTGACTGGATCGAGCCGCTTTAAACCATATGTGTTAACTATATCTTACCAGTTATTTTAAAGCCCTTAATATAAAGCATCTCTCAGGACAAATTGGATTATGCACAGCCTACTCTATGCTATTATTCAGATGCGCTCGTATCCAACAACTACTGTATATCGATATAAACGGTATTTCCTCATACCATATCACTTATAAAAAATATATTGATATATCGTACAAACTCGATATACCGCCCAGCCCTAGTACCAATTGTTTTTTTTTTATATGGCTAAGTGACAATGAAAACAGATGGTTTCTGTGTAATATGAGATGTGAATGTTTGAAACAAAACAAAGCTTTTAAATGCTTCAAATTTTCTGCAGTCAAGATAGAACACACACAATCTCACAAGACAAGATGACAATGAAGACAAATGTAAACGATGTCATCATAATGGCTGTGATATTGGGGTATAAGACAAGCTGGATAAGTTTAAGGACTTGAGTTGACATCCACCAGAAAATCTGTGCTATGACTTATTTTAGCTGCTGTAATTCTGTTATCATTTACATCACTTTAGTACAAGCTAAAGCATGTTTTTTTTATTTGCTGTGAACTGTATGAAAGGTATACATTATATTAATAATATATCATTAGTGACTTTGCCTTCTGTTATGTATGAATATGGAAGGACATTCAGAGCGTTATAAAAAACGATGCTAAACAATCCATGATCGCATTAATTACTAGACTCGATCAAAAGTGAAATCCAATCATTTTGGCCTTTCATCACACTTTTAAACTTGCTTTGAATACACATATCTACATGCAAACAGACATGGAGACAAACGCGATGATCGGTTCTACAGGGAAACTGACAGCACGGTACAAACCAGACTGGGCTTTCCGAGGGGGAACAGAGGTTCGGAGAAGACTAGGGGGTGTTCGGAGCAACAGGCCTGGTCGAATGGTGGCATCAAACAAATCAGTGAATGTCTCTTCTGTTAGTGGAGGTTAGTTAATATGTTAGTATTGTAAAGCATTTTACATACAGAGGGTGCTGGGTATTCAAACCTATGATGAAGACTGATTAGTAAGCACCAAAATACAGGAAAGTAGTAAGTATTTGTGAGATTTTTCTTTTACATTCTTCAGTGTTCAATATAGGCAACTCCCCAACCTAAACCATACACAATGTTTTTTGACCATAGATAACTATATATGAGCTCTAAGAGCTTTCTATCAGGGTAAATATCCCGCTGACTCATCATAACACAAGACAAAAACCATATGTTTCAGCATTCAAAGATGTTAATAGCTCCAGTGGTTATTGAAGAAGATTAGAAGGGAGATTTGCTTTATGTTCATCTCAAGCAGAACAAGCATCTGGGATACATTAAGTGCCTCTCACCTGTTTGTTTGGGCTTGTGCTTTGCTGGTTCCTTGACTGTGGGCTTAACAGGTTTAAGACTGGGTTTCACTGTTGAACAAATTAACATAATTTTTTTCAGATTATTTTAAATAAAGTATTAAATTCCTTTGACAGTTATTTTAAGTCAGCATTTGCTCTGCTTATTACAGTGCTATTAATGATTACCTTCACCTGCTCCTCCTGCACCACCTGCTGGGTTCACTTTAGGTGGTGGGCTAGCTGGAGAATAAAAAATAAAAAAAGTTAACTTGATACACAAAATAATAGCCGTCTGACACTACACTGTAAAAAACAATTGTATGCAATGTAACAGACTAAAAATGCTACAGAAAAAAAATGTTAATTGGTTACTGGTAAGTTCCTTACTATGGTGAAAAACTGTAATAGACCTAACCTTACAAATTCATGTAATTTTACAGTAAAATACTGTTACATGTAGTTTGTGGCAGTGAAAAAGAACAAGTCATTTTATAGTTTACAGTTAACATTTTAAACATGTAAAAATATATTTATTTGTTAATTACAGTTTTAAACTAAAATAAATTTAGTTGTTTTTTAAGTATGTTTACATTTCGCTGTATGTTTACAGAATCATTCCGGCAAACACAGCTTTTTCTGTAAAAAGAAAAGGATTTTTGTACAGTGAAAGGCAATGCTGTTTATACAAATCTATAATACTGCTGTCATCCTTACATGGAAGCATCATCATAATTGTCATACTTACTTAGTTCATCACTGTCAAATGCATCTGCCAAGTCCAGATCCTGACTTATTCCTGTAAAACACACAAAATAAGAAACATTCACAAAATATTTGTGCACTAATTGGTCAGCCGCTTTGTTTTATTCACGATAAAAGCACGGCTATGATCGCTTCACTCAGCGGTTCTGTGTATTTCACTGCGCAACACGCTTAGCAACCACCCTTAACAACATAAACGCTCAGTATAGTGTCAAAACCATTCCATGTATTATGTATTTCAGCAAAATTAACTTTATTATTTATGTAAGGAATTATAAATGACCCCTGCTGACGTTATGTTGCGTCACTCATTCACCTTTAATTTTGAGGCCACACCCTTCCCAGTGTCAAAGAAACTCTTCTCGTGCGGGAGATACATTGATATGTGAGCATCTGTGTGGAAGCCCACAGTTTCCATAGTGCAGAAGGAATATTACTGTATTTATTAGTTTTATGTTTCAGGTATGATGCTGTATGTCCTGTGATGTCCACTGATGCTGTATGTCCACACTGTGATGATGCTTGCAAATTTGCACTGTGCCGCGAATCAGTCTTTTTTCTACTAAAAGACAAAAACAGATGTTTTCTCATGCTGAGAGATAAGCGGATATAAGTGAGTAAGAAAATATCATAGCCTATGGTGTAAAAATAAATGACACGGCGGATGAGAACAGTTCCTATTCTCTGTTTTTTATTTGAGCTCCACAAGATGAGGCTTGTTACAGGAACATTTTCTTGCCATTTACTGTCACTGTCAGGTACTATTTTTTAGTGGAAGGATAACATTTAATGAATTTACTTCAAAAAAGTAACATATCAATACATGAATTTTTGGTTTTAATATTTGTATTGTGTTGTAACTGTTTTATAAAAGCAATAAGGTACTTGAGTAGTGCTTCACATCGTGCCAAACAACGCCCTTCAGTCGTGACTTATTCACAATATAGCACGGCCTCTCATACCTTATTGCTTACATATACAGGTGCATCTCAATAAATTAGAATGTCGTGGAAAAGTTCATTTATTTCAGTAATTCAACTCAAATTGTGAAACTCGTGTATTAAATAAATTCATTGCACACAGACTGAAGTAGTTTAAGTCTTTGGTTCTTTTAATTGTGATGATTTGGGCTCACATTTAACAAAAACCCACCAATTCAATATCTCAACAAATTAGAATACTCCATAAGACCAATAAAAAAAACATTTCTAGTGAATTGTTGGCCTTCTGGAAAATATGTTCATTTACTGTACATGTACTCAATACATGGTAGGGGCTCCTTTTGCTTTAATTACCGCCTCAATTCGGCGTGGCATGGAGGTGATCAGTTTGTGGCACTACTGAGGTGGTATGGAAGCCCAGGTTTCTTTGACAGTGGCCTTCAGCTCATCTGCATTTTTTGGTCTCTTGTTTCTCATTTTCCTCTTGACAATACCCCATAGATTCTCTATGGGGTTCAGGTCTGGTGAGTTTGCTGGCCAGTCAAGCACACCAACACCATGGTCATTTAACCAACTTTTGGTGCTTTTGGCAGTGTGGGCAGGTGCCAAATCCTGCTGGAAAATGAAATCAGCATCTTCAAAAAGCTGATCAGCAGAAGGAAGCATGAAGTGCTCCAAAATTTCTTGGTAAACGGGTGCAGTGACGTTGGTTTTCAAAAAACACAATGGACCAACACCAGCAGATGACATTGCACCCCAAATCATCACAGACTGTGGAAACTTAACACTGGACTTCAAGCAACTTGGGCTATGAGCTTCTCCACCCTTCCTCCAGACTCTAGGACCTTGGTTTCCAAATGAAATACAAAACTTGCTCTCATCTGAAAAGACGACTTTGGACCACTGGGCAACAGTCCAGTTCTTCTTCTCCTTAGCCCAGGTAAGACGCCTCTGACGTTGTCTGTGGTTCAGGAGTGGCTTAACAAGAGGAATACGACAACTGTAGCCAAATTCCTTGACACGTCTGTGTGTGGTGGCTCTTGATGCCTTGACCCCAGCCTCAGTCCATTCCTTGTGAAGTTCACTCAAATTCTTGAATAGATTTTGCTTGACAATCCTCATAAGGCTGCAGTTCTCTCGGTTGGTTGTGCATCTTTTTCTTCCACACCTTTTCCTTCCACTCAACTTTCTGTTAACATACTTGGATACAGCACTCTGTGAACAGCCAGCTTCTTTGACAATGAATGTTTGTGGCTTACCCTCCTTGTGAAGGGTGTCAATGATTGTCTTCTGGACAACTGTCAGATCAGCAGTCTTCCCCATGATTGTGTAGCCTAGTGAACCAAACTGAGAGACCATTTTGAAGGCTCAGGAAACCTTTGCAGGTGTTTTGAGTTGATTAGCTGATTGGCATGTCACCATATTCTAATTAGTTGAGATAGTGAATTGGTGGGTTTTTGTTAAATGTGAACCAAAATCATCACAATTAAAAGAACCAAAGACTTAAACTACTTCAGTCTGTGTGCACTGAATTTATTTAATACACGAGTTTCACAATTTGAGTTGAATTACTGAAATAAATAAACTTTTCCACGACATTCTAATTTATTGAGATGCACCTATATATGCACTATATTCAAATGCACTAATTCCCAGCCTCAACCCATTCAGAAGTACCAGTACTTACATAGATACCTATACATAGTAGCCAGAAAGAAATGCTAATTTTAAAGAAAAACGTCAGACGTACTT